AGTAATTAGAATTGATGCTCAAATTCATACATCTTGTTAGTGTTCAAAGAGTATAAAGAGGGCTGAGGCTATATCTCAGTAGTAGAGCACTTGCCTATCATGTAAAAGACCCTGGGTTCAATCCCGAGCATCACACACACACACACACACACACACACACACACACACACACACAATAAAGACCTAAGGGTCCAACCATGAAAAAATCATTTATAAGATAAAAATACTGAGAACTGTGTTCAAGGAAGAGGAGTCATACCTGAGATCTGATGTCAGTTTTAAAAATATTTTAAGAATTGTTATGAGTAAAAAGAAGTAGCATTTGTTTCCTGTTCCTACAGAGGGCAGTGTTAGTCTAGGCTCTAATGAGTGCAATACACAGGAAGCAGATTAAAGATGAATGTAAGAGAAATCTCTGTAAAATATTAAATTTTTTTTCTACCAGATGTACTACCTTTTATGTGCCCAGTTTCTTCTTTGTAAATTATTTTGTATTTCTTCAACAGCCTTGCAAAGCAGGTACTGTTGTCTCCATTTTACTGACAAAAACTGTAGCCCAGCTTAACTTGCCCAACTTTACCTAGTATTATAATGCTGAGTCATGATTCAAACAAAAGTCCCTTGATTCTTAAACACTTCTAATGTGCAAAATAAGTCGCTATGTTGTTTAAATTAGTCTGACATAAGATCAAGAATTTGTTGAGTTAGTCTATATTGGCAAATTTTTCAAAAATATTAGTTTGATCATTAACTTTGTATAGGTAATTATGAGCAAGTGAAATTAACATTCTTGATTATGTTTATTTCTTTTATATGTTACAAAAACTGAATGAAAATTTTAGTATTTTCTATGCTTAAGTAAACCTTTTTCAATAGCATATACAAAATTGATATTTATGCTTTAAATATAATAAATGGGTTGCAAAAAGTGAATTCAAGTCTCAGGTTAATTGAATGTATAAATGTATGTGGTATATATATAAAACAGGGCCTGCTTAAAAATGTATAATGTATTCAAGCACCAACTGGACTGCATAAGAAACATTACCTCTAAAAGACATATGTTTGCTTAAGTTAAAGAAAATATTTTTGGTAAAGGGAAAATGCATTCAAATATTTAATATCTTTACAACAATAGTTGCTAACCTACTTTTTCTGTATTTTTGGTGTCCTTAGTATTTCACACTAGATGCTGAAATATAACCATCTTGTGGTTCTAATGCTGATAAATGGTTAATTGATTGTAAGGTAATTTTTTTCAGTTAGCTTAACCAGCAATATCATGATGCATAATTCTTTTGCTATCATGATGCATAATTTATACTGTGTCCTGGATTTTTTAAATTATATATTTGTTAGATTTTGGAAGACATAAAGTACTGTGGATTTTTTTTATAATGAGATATTGAGGTTAATTCTCCCTACATCTCAAACATATAAACTAATAAATATTAAAATAATTTCTTCAGAGAAATCAGTGAGGAAAATATCTCACATTTGGTGTAGTGCCCTAAATGTAATTCAATAATGATAACCAAATCTATTTATCACTTAAAAGCTCAGGTTTCTTGTGAAGAAATTCAGATTCAGTCCAGGCCTGGCTCAGAGTGCTGGGGGTAGAACTAATTACACAGCTTGGAGCTGCAGAACCACTTCCCTTTCTGTTGATTACTTTTCCTGGCTCATTTACATAATTTAATGCATGAAGACTGATCAGTGAATTACACAGTTTTCTTAGATTGGGAGGAAAGGATAAATTAACGCTATTTGAGTTAGTGTATATTTTTATGGTATTTCTAATAGGGTCTAACCAGGTCTTTAAAGAAAAAATAATGTGCTTTAGAAATTTAGAAATTCGATTGTCAGGAGTGTCTAATAATAAATACTAGTTGTTGAATGTTAAATGTTATGCTAATAATTATTGAAAACATTATTTTAAAATTATAATTTAATCCCTGTTTTAGTAATAATAATTTTATTGATATAATCCATGTATAGTAATAGCAATTTTCTACCTTTACCAGATATAAGAATGCTTTTTAAAATAAACTTTTTCAAAAGTTTACTTTTTGGGCTGGAAGCATGACTCAAGTGGTAATAAATTAGAGCCCCTGCTTTGCAGGTGCAAAGTCCTGAGTTCAAGTCCTAGTACCATAAAAAATGTATTACTTACTAACATGTATGATTACATATATTAACCGATTTCATTGTGATGTTTCCAGACATGCATACTGCCTGCACTGACCACATTCAACCTCTTTTATCCATCCCCCTCCCTTCTACCATTACACTTCCCATCTTCTAGTACTCACTATATTCAGGTCAACATTTTAGCTTCCACATATGAGAGAGAACATGTTGTACTTGTCTTTCTGTATTTGACTTATTTCTCTTAATATAATGTCCTCCTGTTCTATCCATCTTGCGGCAAAAGAGGAGATCCATTCTTTTCATGGCTTAATAGTATTCCATTGCGTATACATCCCATATTTTCATTATCCATTCACCCACTGCTGGGCACTTAGGTTGATTCCATAACTTAGCTATTGGAAATAGTCTATTGCAATAGACATGGGCATGCAGCTATCTCTGGTGTGATGATTTCATTTCCTTTGAATATATTCCAAGAAATGGGATAGCTGGATCATATGATAGATCAATTTGTAAAATTTTACTAGTATATGTTAATTATGCAAAGGGGTTTCTTTATATTTCCCTACTTACTTATATTATACTTTGATCAAATTCACCCCCTTTATTACTCTTTCATATGCTTCACTATCTTCCTTTATTTTACAGTTTTTAGTGGGTCTCCTTATGCTGGTTTCATACATATGTGTCATGTACTTCAAACATATTTACTCTCTGTCCTTTCCTTTACCCTTCCCTCTCCTGTTGATTTCACTCCCACACACACAGTCATGTCACATTATTGTTAAGGTCTGCATTCCACATAGGAGAGATTATGTGATGTTTCTCTTTTTGAGCTTGTCTTCGTTCTCAGATGACATAATTATATTCTTTTTCTGTTTGAATAGTACTCCATTGTGTATATATACGTCATTTTTTTAATCCGTTCATTGATTATTGGGCAAATAGTCTGATTCCATACTATTGTGAATAGTAATGCAATAGACATGGGTGTGCAGGCATCTCTATCGTATGTTGACTTCTCCTTCCAACATATGCCCAAAAGTGGTATAGCAGAGTCATAAAATAGTTCTTTTTTTTTTTAATTGTTATTACTGGGACATTGTGGCATTTACAAAAGTTCTTACAATATAGTTCTATTTTTAGAAAGCTTCTTACTGATTTCCATACTGGCTACACTTACTTTTTATGATTTCGGGTTTTTGTTTGTTTGTTTGTTTGTTTGTTCGTTTGTTTTATTTGAGTCAGGATCTCACTGAATAGCTAAATAGCTCAGGCTCACCTGTAACTCACTATGTAGGTCTCCAATTTACAATCCTGCCTCAGTCTCCTCAGTACTGAGATTACAGATTTGTACCAATACCTGTGGCTTATTTTTACTTGTTTGAAGAACTTCATGTTATTCTTCATAATAGCTATTGCTAATGTCCATTCCCACCAGGAATGTGTAAGAGTTCTTTTTCCTCCTTGACAAGTTTATAACTGTTAGCTTTCCATTATTACCACAAAATACCTGAGATAATTAAAAAGAGGAAGTGTTTATTTTGGTTCATAGTTATAGAGGTTTCACCCCATGCTTGGCAGGTTACGTTGTTTTGGGGCCAGTGACAACGCAGAATCATGCATGTGATTGAGCAAAGCTGCTCAACTCATGGTGCCTTAGAAGGAAAAAGAGAGGATGAGAACAGCATTCCACATTCCCCTCTGAGGTCTTACCTATACTGATGTAGAACTTCTCACTAGTTCCCACTTCTTAAAGTTTCCACCACCTCCCAATAGTGCCACATGGAGACTAAGACTTTAATGAATGGATTTTGGGGAAACATTTAAAATCCAAACTATAGCATTCCACTCCTGGCCCTTAAAGGCTCATGTCTACCTCACCATGCAAAATACATTTACTCCTCCAAGAATCCTCAACATTTTAACCTTTCCAGTGTTGCTCAAAAATTCAAGTCCAAACTTCAAGTTTCAAGACAAACTCAACTGGGAGGCCCTGTTTTTTGTTTTGTTTTGTTTAAAAAAAAAAAAGAACAAAGCAACAATAATTTTTAAAAAAAAGGTATAAATTTTCAAAATAAAATAGCACAAGTAAACATCCCCATCTTAAAAGAGAAGAATAGGAAAATAGTATGGAGGGATCAGACCAAAGCAAGATAGAAGCTAACAGGACAAACATCAAATCCTATGTCTTCACAGTTGGCATCCAGTGCACACTGTGGTAGGGTGTGGGTTCCCATTGGGCAACCTCACCTTCCTATGGTTTTGCTGGTTGAAGCTTACTTGGCCACTCTTTTGACTGGCCTTGCATGCTGTCTGCAGCTTCTCCAGGCAGGGACACTCAGCAGGAGTGTGAATGCAACCTAAGAGAATGAAATAAGGAGTGATAAGTAGTCTGCATTTGCTGCCTATTAGTGTGTACCTTCTCTTCTCTTCACTGTGTCCTCCTCTACAGTTACCTCAACCTCACCCCTCCCAAATTTTTACTAGGATAAAAGTTTGTCCTTTCATATGGATAAGTTATCGTTTTCAATTTTTATATAATGTGAATAAACACGTGATGAATCATGTCTTCAAGTGAAAAATGCATAAATTATGCTTCAAACTTTATAGAATACATTTGTTAGCATATTTATAGGCTAATAATAAATAGTTGTTATTAAATTTTATTTATCTTTCCTTTATCCTATATACACTCTTTTCTAAAATAAGGAAGTGTTGAAGAGTTCGTAAGTTGGAGATTCTGTTCTGAGAATTAATAATTGCTTCTATAGAATGATTTCCATGCTAGTATTATGCTGCCATTTAATTAATTGGAATTTTAAATAAACTACTTTTCTTCATTTTAGGTGATGGTGTTTGTACATGCTCGAAATGCCACTGTAAAAACAGCTATGTCTCTTATAGAAAGAGCAAAAAATTGTGGCCAGATCTTCTGCTTTTTACCTATCCAAGGACCTGAGTATGGACATGCAGAAAAACAGGTAGGATACAAATGACAGCAAGAGGACAAATACTAAAGCACACAGTGCTGGTGTAGTACCTACACAAGATACTTTACATATAAAAGATCCACCATTTACCATTTCTAAGAAATTAATTTTACAGATTTTCTAATTTTTTTGACCAATGATCTTTTAAAAGGTCTCACTGCATGATGTATTCTCTTATCACTTTTGTCCACACAGTTATAATCAATGTGCTTAATCTGCTTTTATAAATACAGTTAAAGGGCTGGCGGCATGGCTCATTGCAGTAGAGTGCTTGCTAAAAAGTGTGTAGCCCTGAGTTCAAACCACAGTACAGCCAAAAAAAAAAAAAAAAAAATATATATATATCCCTTTGTTTATATATATATATATATATAATATAAACATATGTAGTTAAAATACATATAGTATATATATATAGTTAATATATATATAATTAAAATATGAAACAGTTAAATTTCATAAAATGTTAATATCTATTGGGTTTATTTTTATTCCTTTAAAGAGTTAATAAATATTTTTTGAATTTGTAAGTTTTAACTTCTAAGGTTAATATTGGCAGATAAAACCTAAATAAACAAAAGATCTTTTTAAGAATATAAAGGAATCCTGAGACCAAAAGCTTTGAAAGTCCCCTGCCTTATTACTCATAGGCCCGCAGGACTGAGGAGCCTTGGGGTCACTGGCGTCCCTATTATAGACACAGAACCTCAGACCCTCTGCAGGCCTGCCAGTCAGAATGTGCATTTATCTAGATTGCCAGATCATTTTAATTAATTTGAGTATTGATAGTATCTTAAGCTTTGTGGATTTTATTTAATTATATCAATTCATTAATAATTTCCCTCAATTTTCAGCAAACTGCCAACGGCAGCCCTGTTTTTGTGATTAAAGTTTTATTAGAACACAGTCAGATCCATTCCTCTACTATGTATGGGTGCTTTCTTACCCTGTAGGAGAAGAATTAAGTAGTTGTGACAGACTATGTTACTCTCTCTTTGCAGAAAAGGTGTGCTGACCCTAACTTAAAACTGTGAAAATACATTTTAAATTAAAAAGTCCATTGACATAAAGTGATAGCAACTTCAACCTTTATATTTGTTACATAAGATTTAACTGACTGTTTACTGAACAGCTGCCAGACATTGTGCTCTGTACTTTCATTTCTTTTTGTTTGTTTGTTTTCCTTTTTTTTTTTTTTATTTTTGGTAAAACTGATGTTTCATCTCAGGGCTTTATGCACTGCACTTTCAAATGTATTGTCTTACTAAAAATGTATTTGATTATCATGACTGCACTGTAAATTTTGCCATTTTATTTTGGCATTTAAATTGTGTAATAAGCTGATGGTAGTTGTTTTGAATATCAAATTATCTTTCAGTTTAGCACTACAAAATTCATTTTTTTTCACTTTGTTAAATTTTCTATTATATAACACTTATTTTACAGCTTTGTATTCTTCCATTTATTTATCAGTCATGAATTTATAGGAATCTTTGAAAGTCAGCTTGCTATTCATGAGTCTTGTTTCAGATCTTTGGAAATATAAAACAACTCTATTATATTTTAAAGCAAAGCCTTGAGAGCCACCTTGTGGATTTCTGGTTACTTCCTACCTCAATTCTGAGAGCTATTGCTATTTTGCATAATTCATGTGTATTATTTAATTATTACATTGATGTTTAACATCTATGGATTGCTTACTAATGCCAGGTATTGTTTTCATTGCTTTATATAACTTATTCAAATCCTCACAACAACCATGCTATAATTTGTACTATCATTATTCCTTTTATATGACATATCTTAACTAATTCAAATGTAGCATGAAAGAGTATATAGCATATAGTTAAAATTTATACAGAGAAAGTGTTACATTATGTTCATTTAAGGACGTCACCAAACACAAATTCATACGCCACTATACCATAACAGAAATTAGAATTCAAAATTTTCATACAGTTGAGTAGATTTGAAAAGTTCCTACTGTCTTTTGTCCTTTTATTATACTTGATTTTTATCCTGGTCCAACAATTATTGGATTTTTTTAACAAGAATGAATTCCACACACATTTATTGAATACATGTTTTCAAGGAACGCTGTCCTCTTTATCATTATGTGCCCAGCCGTTGATGTATTTGTCTGACAGGAGGTGCCCCAAATTACTTTTTCTTTACTTTTATTCCTATAAAGCAGACATCATAATAGATATTTTCACTTCAGTCTTCTCATTTGATCTGCATCGCTATTCTGTCATTTAAAGATTGTTATCCCCACTTTGCAGGTAAAGAAACTGAAACTGAGAAAGTAAATGATTTTTACCAGTCTCTTCCATCTAATATGTAGTGGAGCATGATTTGAACCAGTCTGACTCCCTATTCTACCTTTTCCACTGTACTGGGCCCAACTTGTTCAAAAACAAACAGATTGCATTCAATCTGGAACTTTCAAAAGCCTTTAGGACATAAGTCTTTTTTTTCCTTTTTCTTTTTTCAATAAAAGAAAAGAATATTTCTCAATCTGACTATATCCTTTACTTCTCTCTTTAGAGATTTTTTGCAAAGTGAACTGCTTCAAGGTGCATATTATGATAAAACATAAGATAACTTTTCTGAGTGTTTTCATAACTCTAGAATTTAAGAAAATGCTTTTAGTGCTAGCTATGTATTTCTTATTTCTCAAAGTGCCTTTTGAACTTGCATGGTATTAACTATCTAACAATTCCAAGGAAGCTGTGGTTGTGATAGTAGAAGATACTTCTTCCCATGTTTTTGAAAAATAAGAAATGAAGTACTCAAAACATTAAAATAAAATTAGGAGGTAAATTTCCTGTGGTAGTGCACAGAAATTTATCCTCATGTCTCCTATTAATGGAAATATAGCTAAGTCCCTTCTGTACCACAGTGATACTTTAATCCTACGAGTGTAATGTAACCATCTCAATTCTTGACTAACAAAGTAAGGCCTCTAAAAGTGTATCTTTTCCATCTTATCAGTTCAATATAACTTTATTTGCATATAATAAATCTCCACAAAGAAATCCTCATCTCTCCCCTCACCTTGTATATGTCTGTGTGTGATGTGTGAATGAGTGTAACAGTGCTATTCCCATGCCACAACTGAACACAAAATTTGTCTCTCTAATAAAGTAGCAGTTTTACTTAAGATGCTCATACCATTCCCATGTTTAATATCAGAGTCGCCCCTGGATGAAGAACCACCTATATTTCCAAATTGTCCACTGAAACAAGAAGGTAGAGAGAGAAACATGAAATGCTCCAAGAGTAGCTGAAGCTATGGAGAATGAGCCTGGGGCACCCCTTGGAGTAAGGCAGTGTCTCAGGAATTTCACAAAGGTCCATAGGAAGAGGACAGATTAACAAGAAACTCCATGGCTTCAACTTAAACATCTACCCATTCTGAAATTTACTTTCTCCTTTATCAAAAGAATAACCATGGGGCATATATAATACCTATTCCAGTGGTTTTGTATAAGAAATAAATGATGTATAAAATTATATTAGAAAATGTTAAGAGTTTACATATTTCTATTCTTTTTTTTTAGTTTCATACTATTTATTAAGCAGTGGTTCAAAACAATGATATTTTTGTTCTGAAAATTGGATATACCTATTCTGTCATTTGCTTTTCAACAGTTTTGAGTAAGTTTGCATGCCTGCATATCACACTGGTAAAAAGAAAATTGTATCATTTCTTTCTCTCTGAACAGCATTTAGATTGATTTTATCAATCTTTTTTTTCTGTATTTTTTTATTCATTTATTCACATCTGTATACATTGTTTGGGTCATTTCTCCTTCCAGCCCCTGCCCTCACCTTCTCCACCCCTCACCCCTCCCTTCCAGGCAGAACATGTTCTACACTTTTCTCCAGTTCCGTTGAAGAGTAGAAATAAGCAATAATAAGAAAAACATAGCATTTTTGCGAGGTGAGATAAGGACAGCTATACAGAGCGATTCCTAGCATTACTTTCATGTACAAATGTGTTACAACCCAGGTCGATTCATCCTAACTAATCTTTACACTGGTTCCTGATCCTCTTCTCGTGTTGCCCTCTGTTGCTTTAAGGTTTCTGTATTAATTCCTCTGGAGTGGAGACATCAAAAGCTTTCATGTTTTGGGTTTTCTATCTAACCCTGTACCTCCCGTATATGTTCTCCCCTTGTCATGTAACCCAGGTCCTACAACATTGCTGTATTTGCCCTAGATCTAAAGACTGCATATGAGGGAGAACAGACAATTTTTGGTCTTTTGAATCTGGTTAACCTCACTCAGAATGATGTTCTCCAGTTCTAGTCAAAGGCTTTTTCTGCATCTATTGACATGATCAATTGGTTTTTGCCTTTGCTTCTATTACGGTGCTGTATTACATTTATAGATTTGCGTATGTTGAACCACCCCTGCATCCCTGGGATGAAGCAGACTTGGTCATGGTGTATGATGTTTCTGATGTTTTGTTGAATTCGGTTTGCAATTATTTTTTTTCATTTAAGAACTAATATTTATTTATTTATTGTTTTATTGTTTTATTATTTATATGTGCATACAAGGCTTGGGTCATTTCTCCCCTCTGCCCCCACCCCCTTGCTTACCACCCATTCCGCCCCTCCCTCTCCCCCCAGCCCCCTCAATACCCAGCATAAACTATTTTGCCCTTATCTCTAATTTTGTTGAAGAGAGAGTATAGGCAATAATAGGAAGGAACAAGTGTTCCTGGTTGAGATAAGGATAACTATACAGGAAGTTGACTCACATTAATTTCCTGTACATCTGTGTTGCCTTCTAGGTTAATTCTTTTTGATTTAACCTTTTCTGTAGTTCCTGGTCCCCTTTTCCTATTGGCCCCAGTTGCTTTTAAGGTATCTGCTTTAGTTTCTCTGTGTTAAGGGCTACAAATGCTAGCTAATTTTTTAGGTGTCTTACCTATCCTCACACCTCCCTTGTGTGCTCTCACTTTTATCATGTGCTCAAAG